ATTTGCCTAATTTTACTAATTTCCTTGTACCATTTTTTTTTTTTTTTTTTTTGTCTTTTTGAGACAAGGTCTCACTATGCAGTTCAAGCATTATTTCCTCACTTTTCATAGATTGCCTTGTACCCTGTTGAGGGTGTTGGGAATTGAACTCATGACCATGCGCTTGCCAGGCAGGCAAGGGTATCATTTCATCCACAGAAATTGTTCATATGCATGTAGTCTTTTTTTTTTTTTCATATGTATGTAATCTTAATTTATGTTTTTACTTTTGTTGCCTGTGTGTCTGTGCCTGGAATCAGTGCCAAATCCAGTCTCATGTGGTTTTCCCTTCTACTTTTCTTCTAAGAGTTCTATAGTTCTCACTCTCACATTTAGGACGCTGATCCATCTTCAGCTGGCTTTTTTGTATTTGGTGTAAAATAAAGATCTAACTCCATTCTTCTGCAAGAGCATATCCAGTTTTCCACCCTCTACTGCTGTGGTGTAGGCTCCGCAGGCCCCTGTGGGATGCTCTTGGATCGCTTGCTGAAAGTCCCATGATGCATTGCGAGGGTTGCTGGGCTTCCTGTCCCATTGGTCTGGGTATCTGTCTTTATGCCAGGACCATACTTTTGATTACTGTAGCTTTGTAATGAATTTTGACACAGGAAATTGTTCTTCTTTTTCAATATTTGCTGGTTTTTTGAGGTTCTTTGCAATTCTGTAGAAATATTGTGTGTGTTATGTTTTTTGAAAAAAAGTCTCACTATATTCTAGGTTGGCCTTGAACTAACTCACTATGTAGTCCAGGCTGGCTTTGAACTCATGGTGATCCTCCTGCCTCAGCTTCCCATGTGCTTGGATTACAGGCATGCCCGACCATGCCTGACTTCCATAGGAATTTTAGGATGGATTATTATATTTCTGCAAAAATATGCTGTCAAAATTTTAATAAAGATTATATTAAATCTGTAGATTCCTTTGGGGTAGTATTGATACATTAACTTTATTGTCTTCCAATCTATGAACACAGGATGTCTTTCCATTTGTTTATGTCTTTCATTTCTTCTTCTTTTATTTCTATCAGCACCACTTTGTAGTTTTCAGTGTACAAGGTTTTCACTTCCGCAGCCATTTATTTCTAAGTATTTTATTCTTCTTGATGTTCTTGTTAGTGGAAATGTCTGCCTAATTTCCATCCCAGATGTTTATCATTAGTGTATACAAATGCAGCGGATTTCTGAGTGTTGCTTTTGTCTCTTCCAGTTCTCCTGAATTCATTTACTAGTTCTATCAGGTCTTTGTTTTAAAGTTAAAGCCCTTGATGCTTATCAGATATGGCCAGGAGCCTCTGCTAGTGCTGGGTGTTTCTCTCTCTCTCTCTCTCTTCCCTGGTTTCTTTGGCTGCAGTCATCGCTGATAATCCTAGGTGGCAGAGACTCTGCCACTACTACCACCAGCAGAGCTTTCTAGGGTAGCACTGAGCTGAACCAGGGAGCAGTCTTTTCAGTGTGGGCTGGTGGCTGACACTCCACGGCTGAGATTTCTTCTTCTTCTGTCCCTACAATGTCAACATCCCAGTGACATGGAGATGAGTGTGAGGGGCCTAGATGAGTGTGCCTGGGAGTCTCAGGCTGAGCTTTCTTTCCCCAACAGCATCCTTGGTGTCTTTTTGGAATGAGGTACACAAGACCGACCTCACCTGCATTTCTGGGCTTTCAATCCTGTCATTCACTGCACTGGAAACCCTAATGTATGTGGTCAGCTGTGCAAGGCAGCTTCATGGAGATGGCTTTCTGGGAGACTAAGCCACTTTTTTGGGTTCAAAAACATTTGGTAGGAGGCCGGGCATGGTGGCACATGCCTGTAATCCCAGCACTTGGGAGACTGAGGCTGGAGGATCATTGTGAGTTTGACACCAGCCTGGGTTACAGAGTGAGCTCAAGACCAGCCTGAACTGCATAGTGAGACCCTGGGTCAAAAAAAAACAAAACAAAAAAAACCCCCACAACATTTGGTAGGAGAATCAGGAGTGCACATTAGAGTGCACATTGCCAGCAGAAGAGCAATTCTTCCATCCCACTGTGTAGCTTTCCAGCTATATCTCAACTGTACACTGATGCTGCCTTCCAGCTCCTTCCAGTGAGTTTCCATTTTGAGATTACCATCTTTCTAGGGAACCACACACGCCCCGCCTCCCCACTGCCCCCACTGCCACTGCCACTGGTGTTCTTATTCAGACATTTCTTGCCTGTCTTTTATAGCATCTGTATTTTTTTTTTTTTTTTTTTTACCAAACGGGTAGAGTTTGCCCTAGAGGAAATTATTAACTTCGTTTAGTCTGTTCTTCTACCTCACTGTCAACCAGGCTTCAGCCTATGACCCCTCCTCCCACCAGCCTTGTCTTTCCAGCACAGGGGACCCAAGAAGCCCTACCCGTCTAGGAATAAAGGGATGGGCTGACCTGCGCTCTAGGATCTTGGAAGTGAAGCCTGAAGCCAGATTCCCATGCACCCCATCTCTCCCAATGGGTATTGCCCCATACATGGCAGGACCCATCAGAATTCAAGCTTACCTTGGCCCAGAGAGGAGTCAGGCTTTAACATCAGGCCCAGTGCCTCTCTCTCAGGCTCTAGGTGAGCTCTGCAGAGGCCCAACTTGCTAGATGTGCAGCTAATCCCTGGTGCCTGACCCTAGCCCCCCAGCATTTTTGCAGGGGCTACAGGCTCAGCTTCCAGTTCTTCTCCTGCACCTCTGCCCCTCTCCTAGGAAGTATGGGCACACTGAGGCATCAGACATTTTTGGGGTGGTCATCCAGGTCTACTGGCGGGATTTGTTCTGCTTCCCATGAGTCCTTGGGGAGGAATCAGGAGGAGGACAAAGGAAGCCAGAGAGGAGGAAATTGGTGAGGGGGCAGTAGCAGTGGGAGGTAAGGGCACGGTCAGGGGCTCAGCAAGTGTGGTGCAGGGATGCTAATGTTGTTAGGCTCAGAAACCCAAGCTTCTGTGGGCCTTGGGAAGGTACTGGTTTGGATTTGGACTCATCATGCCAGCCCTTAGTGTCCGGGACGAGGCGGTGGGAGAAGACAGCTGTTTTCTGTATTGTATTTTACCCAGAACCCTCCTTGATTTGAGCTTGGTTCTAGCCCTCGCCACCAGGCTAACTAGCAGAACTGGCATTCTAACCGGGGTAACCGGCAAAAGCTGTCTTCTCTGGGTGCAATCTGAATACAGAGGCCTCTGAGGTTACAACCAAATTGGTCTTTTGGGAAGTGGCATTTCCCAAAGTCTAACAACAGAAAAGTCAAATCTATAAAATACTGCATACAGCGCTGAGGAATTAGCGCAGTGGTAGAGATCCTGCCTAGCAAGCATGAGGCCCTGGGCTCCATCCCCAGCACCAAAAAGGAAAAAGAAAAAAAATAATGCATATAGGGACCCCCATTCATCCCAAAATATCACAGCTGTCACTGCCACCCCCCACAGGAGCGGCAGTGGGCATTTCTGATTCTCCAGGCCCAGGGGTTTCCTGATGGGAATCTGAGCGGATTCCTTCCCCCCAGATCTCCCTGGAGGTCACTCTGGCCCTCAGAGACCCAAGCTTGGTGGCCCTGGGCCTTTTCACTTCTTCCTCCCTGCACCTCTTTCCAGAGCTAGAGCGGTGAGCTCCCCCAAGGGGCTGAGGAGGGCTGGAGGGCCTCAGGTCACCATCCCTGGCTTTGTCCCCAGAGGACCGGAAGCTGTTTGTGGGGATGCTGGGCAAGCAGCAGGGCGAGGAGGACGTGAGACGCCTGTTCCAGCCCTTCGGCCACATCGAGGAGTGCACGGTCCTGCGGAGCCCGGACGGCACCAGTAAAGGTGACCTGAGCCGGCCCCTGGGGCTTCCTGGGGACTTTCTCTCACTCTGTGTCCTTTTGGCCTCTGTGACCTGAGCTGCCTGATCCCTCTGTCCTGCCCAGGCTGTGCCTTTGTGAAGTTCGGGAGCCAAGGAGAAGCCCAGGCAGCCATCCAGGGTCTGCACGGGAGCCGGACCATGGCGGTGAGGACGGGCTGGGTGAGGCCGGGGCGGGCTCCTCTGCCCATGTACATGCACGGGGACCTTGGTCACAGCTGGATAGGTCAGCACTGTGGTTTCCCTGCCCTGCCCGTCAGGGGGCCTCGTCCAGCCTGGTGGTGAAGCTCGCCGACACCGACCGGGAGCGCGCGCTGCGGCGCATGCAGCAGATGGCCGGCCAGCTGGGCGCCCTGCACCCTGCGCCACTGCCCCTCGGGGCCTGCGGAGCCTACACCACTGCGGTAGGTGACTGGCCCCGGACAGCTGGCCAGGCTGGCCATCCAGGCTGGGGTGCCCCTGCAGAGACTCCCATGAGCACCTCTCTTTCTCCCCTAAGATCCTGCAGCACCAGGCCGCCCTGCTGGCGGCGGCCCAGGGTCCCGGCCTTGGCCCTGTAGCAGCTGTGGCGGCCCAGATGCAGCATGTCGCAGCCTTCAGCCTGGTAGCTGCACCTCTGCTGCCTGCAGCAGGTAGGGACCCGGGGACTGGGCTGCAGCTGGGAGGACCAGGTGTTCTGCGGCCGGACTCAGCCTCCTCTTCCGCTGTCAACAGCCAGCTCCCCGCCTGGAGGTGGCCCAGGCACCCTCCCCGGTCTCCCTGGACCCATCGGGGTCAATGGCTTCAGCCCCCTGACCTCCCAGACCAACGGGCAGCCGGGCTCCGACGCGCTGTACAATAACGGGCTCTCTCCCTACCCAGGTGGGCCACTGAAACGGAGTGGGGAGCAGGGGACAAGGCGTGGCAGGGCCCCGCTTCTGGGGAAAGGACGCCCCTCCTTTTCCTCCACTCTCCACTCTCCCGAGTCTCTCCCGGGCCCTGCCCACCTGCCTTCACCATGGGCCTGGCCCCTCTCTCCCCAGCCCAGAGCCCTGGCGTGGCTGACCCCCTGCAGCAGGCCTACGCTGGGATGCACCACTATGCAGGTTTCACCGGGCACTGCGCGGGCCTTGGGGGGTGACGGGTCCCAGAAAAAAAGAAGGAGATTGGGAGGGGCTCAGGCTCTCTTCCCAGCACTCGAACTTCCCTCCTGCTCATGCCCAACTCCCCAGCAACCTCTCTTGGGGCGCGGGTTAGGGTGGCCTGGGTTGAACTGGAGACCAGGAGATGGGGTCCTGCTTGGCGTTGGCTGTGGGGTCAGTGCCCACTCCTGCCTCTGTCTCCAGCAGCCTATCCGTCGGCCTATGCCCCAGTGAGCACAACTTTTCCCCAGCAACCTTCAGCCCTGCCCCAGCAGCAAAGAGAAGGTGAGGAACTTGGGGCCGGGGAGTGAGGGCCCGGTGGGGCTGGACCAGGGCCCTCCCCTGAACCTGCTCCTGTCCCTGCAGGCCCCGAAGGCTGTAACCTCTTCATCTATCACCTGCCTCAGGAGTTTGGGGATGCGGAACTCATACAGACCTTCCTGCCCTTCGGAGCTGTCGTCTCTGCCAAAGTCTTTGTGGATCGCGCCACCAACCAGAGCAAGTGTTTTGGTGAGCTGAGCCCCAAGCCGGGGAGAAGTTGCCCTCCAGCCCCTACCTACGGCGGTGATTTCCCGAGACTGAATGTATAATACAAAGCAGGGTCGTATTTTAGCTAAGGGGATACGCCTAGACCAAGTAGAAGCTCTATTTTTCCTCTGGGAAACGCGGGGATCTAGAAAGCGTCCACGCAGGTGAGGGTTTTGGAGTTTGGCTGGCACCTGGGATACCGGCAACTCCCAATGCAGGTCTGAGGTCCAGCATGGGAGTAGGGGAGGGAGGCAGCCAACCCAGCCTAGGAAAACATGGGAAAAATCCCAGCCTCCTCACACAGTCACCTCCTGTCCTTCCGAGAATCACACCTTTGGGAATCTCAGGCTGCTCGCCCTAATGTGTGTGTGCCGATCTCTCTGTCCACGCAAAAACGCTGGAGGGGTCTGTTTGGTGGAACTGGCTCACGAGGCTTGGGAGATGAGTGGGTTAGGGAAAGGCGGCCCTGCCGGGCAGGGTTCCACGCTAACCTTTGTGCCCACACCCTGTCTCCCAGGATTTGTTAGTTTTGACAATCCAACCAGTGCCCAGACTGCTATTCAGGCCATGAATGGCTTTCAAATTGGCATGAAGAGGCTCAAGGTCCAGCTAAAGAGGCCTAAGGATGCCAACCGGCCTTACTGATCTGCTCTCACTGAAAGGTGAATCCCTCCCGGATGCCCCTCCTAGCTTTGACGTGCCTTTTGGGACATTGGGGCACCCACCTCTGAGGAAGTCTAGGATAAAGAGAAGAGCAAGGAGCGAGGAGGAGCCCTTGGACAGAGACTGCACTTCATCTCAAGGACTGAGATACGTTAGGCAGCACTCTGGTCTCCGTAGTCAGGGAAAGACAAGGGCAGCAACATTTAGCAGGTCCTCCTGCAGGGAGTAACAGGGAGAGAGACCGCATCTATGGAGAGGGCGAGAGGAATGAGGTGTGGGCCAACTTGGGAAGGGTCTTTCTGGCCGTGCGTTCTGACTTTATACTGAAGGTGCTAGAGAACCACTGAGGGGTTTGAACGAGAAGAGACAAGATGTAAGTCCTGGGACGATGGCAGTGAACATGCAGATGAGGAACAGCAACATGCTCCAGAGGGAAGATCTGCAGGGCCGGGTGGGAGATGAGCAGAGAGATGCCAAGTTCTAGGTTTCTGCAGGGCCGTGGGCCTGTAGGAGGCCCCTTGCAACTCCTAGCGATGTGCTGTCCCTCAAGGGCCACTCGGATCCACTTGACTTGAGCTGGGGCCGCCTGCCCAGGGACCCAGGGTCTGGCTTTGGTGCAACAGGCTGTTCCCAGGAAGAGTGGCCCTGAGAGTGCAGGCTGCTTTGGTCTGGCCCTCTGGGGTGACTTTTTCCTTTCACCCAAGGGCGGACACTGAAGAGTGAGAAGAAAGCAAAGAAAAAGCACAGAAATGCCGGAGTGGCCCTTCCTAAGGGAGCAGCTGCGGATGGACAGAGGTGGATCGGACCCAAGGCCCGTGCCTGGCGCTCAGGCCCCTGGACACTGTTTCTGATCGAGCGGATTGTTCTGCACCTGGCCTGCAGGAGAGCAGCCAGGCACCGAGCATTGACTGTGGAGGGGAGCAGCCAAGGGCCTGGGGGTGCCGAGGGCTTCCCCGCCAGGAGAGCCCAGATTTACTTCTTTCAAAATCATATCATTCCTTAGAGTTTAGGGACCAAAGGACTATTGCTTTTTTAAGAATATATATATATATATCTATATAAATTAAAGAAACAAAAAAAAACCACACAAGAGAAACAAAAAGTATAGAGTCTAATAAAAGCTGCCTTTAACTATCCCTAGGAGACAGGGTGAAGGGACCCTTGCTAGCCCAGCCCAGGCAGGGGAGCCTGTGGGAAGATTGTCCTGTGTTTTATCCCCTCCTAAACTATCCCTGGCCCCTTTAAAACCCAGTAAGGACTTGAGGTCCAGGCTCGTCTGCAGGGTATGAGCGGGGTATAGAAGCCAGCAGTGAACCCACAATCCACTGCCCCAACTCAGACAGCAGCCCCGGAGAGGCACTGGAGGAGTTCAGGCCTGCATGGCCTTTGCCATTCCGAGCGGCCCCCCGGTCAGCAGGAGAGGGGACCTGCCCGTCCTCAGTGGCCTTCCTGTGGAACCACTGCTCCCCCAGCCCGGAAGATAGAGAGGGAGGGAGTTTGGGCCACCTGAGACTTCCCTTCCAGTCTGAATAGACAGAGGCCTTGCCCTTGGCTGAGCGGGGACACCTCCTGTGTCCTCCCCCCTTGAGCCAGCCCCATGTCCCGTTGCTCCAGGCCACGTTCTGTTTCTTAGTCTAAGTCTGTCTACCTGTAAAGTAGTTTCGAGGTACGCGTAGAAGGCCATGAACACAGGCAGGAAGGTTTGAGACTGTATATACTGCCATTGAGGAGGGGATCATTTTCACTACATAGAAGCTTCAGCATTAGAGGTCCCTCTCTACCCAGGGCCTGGGTGGGAAGTAGATGTTTTGCCAAAATACTTCTTCATTCCTTTCTGAGGTACATGTTTCCTATGCAAGAGTGTCTCCTATGTGCTTACCCAAGGTGGTCCTAGATGGTGAGCAGTGTTTGGCTTAGAAGTGATGTGTGCTCCGTCTGTCCGTCTTTGTCTGTCCGTTGTATACAGTGGGTGCCATATAAAACTGATCCGTGGTGGTGCTTCCTGCCTGCTTCTGTAAGAGGGGCCACGATGCAGCCTAGAACACCGTGACGCACCTTGCCTCGCTCAGCCCTTCTCAGGCCTGCAGGGCTTTGCACATGTTTTACCGGGGTGGGAGAGGGGGATCGATTCCCTCTGCCGCACAGACATGGCTCCACCTAATCCCTGGGCCCGGATGTGCTGGGGTCCCTCCCGATATTGCTGAGGCGGACACCTCTGATCTGACATCACCCAGACAGCCAAGGATGTGGGGCTGGGTTGGAGGGCTCTCCCTTCGTAACAGTTTCTAAGAAAACTTTTCCTACCTGTTCCTCTGTCTTTGGCTCGTTTTTGGAAGTCATGGGGATGAAGACTAGATAAGACACTAAGACTACCAGGTAAGGTGCAGTGTGTGTCCGAAAATGATTTCCAACCAGGAGGGAAGCCAGTGTACACCAACCCAGTTGTGAGACGCAGACACAGAGGTGCACAGCACCTGGCCACGCAGACAGACACTCACAGGGAGGGACAGGGGCCAAGCACTGCGAGGCGATAACGGTGCAGGCATGCGTGAGCACCGGAGCTAAGGGGAAAGAGAGACCATCGACACAGTTACAATGGAGCGTCGCAAAGGTCTGCCCTAGCGAGAAGAGCACCCAGGTAAGGCTTGACTCGTGGGAGAGCCAAGAAAGACATCAGGAAGGAGGTTGAGGGGGAAAAGTTGGCAAGGATGCACTGGGACCTTTGGACAAAGCCCAACTGCATCATTCTGAAAATTTATCACTGTTTCCAAGATTAATAATGACCATTTATTTCAGTGTCTGTCATCGTACGGATGGTGTAGGACAAGACCTTGTTCCCATTCCCAGGTCTACCCTGAACCTTAACTCATTGCTGAGTCATATCAAGACACTCAAAGCAAAATGGCATTTAAAGATTTTTTGTTTTGTTTTAGACAGGGTCTTGCTACGTGGTCCTAGCTGGCCTTGAACTCACTACGTAGCCCAGGTTGGTCTCAAACTCGCCATGATCTTCCTGCCTCAGCCTCCCTGTGCTGGGAGGGCGTGTGCCACCATGCCCAGACTTAAAAGTATTTTGCCTCATACTTTGGGACAAGCTAGAGACTGACAGAGTAGACAACTCCAAAGCTGCAGAGGCTGGGATGATCTATATCAGGGGTTGGAAAAATATAGTCTGGAGCTTATTTTTAGATGACCTACAAAGAATAGTCTTAACATTTTTAAGGATTATCAAAACAAAACAAAAAGAAAATGAGACAGAGGTCCTGTGTGCTCACACGACACAAAATATTTATCTTGTCCTCTAGACAAAAGGTGTGGAAGATTGTGGAAGTCACATTATAATGTGTGAGTTTGAGCGACATGCTGTTTGTGTTTCTATGTGTGTGTGTATTAGTCTGGACCTTTCAGTCTCCAGTGGCAACACCCCAGTTCAAACATGTTTAAGCCAATAGGATATGAGTTGGTTTATAGACCTGACAAATCAAAGGTTTTATCTGCCTTCAGGTATGGCTGGATCTAGGGGGTTCAAATGACAATGTCTTTATCTCTCAACTCTGTTTCCTTCCACATGTTGCTATTCTAGTTCTAGCTCTAAAATCCCAGGGAAAACTTGGGCCAGCTTTGGACATGCGCCTACCTCTAGGATGGAAGGCAAGGCCAGCATAATTGATAACTTCACTAGAACTGAAAGGAAGGGGAGAAAAGTGTCCTTAAATAAAGGGAAAAATAGTAGATGTCCACAATATTTCATCCTTTATGCTACCCACTTGTACTTTGCTTTTCTAAATTTATTTTAAAAATAAAAGAAGGAGCCGGGCATGGTGGCACACGCCCGTAGTCCCAGCACTTGGGAGGCTGAGGCAGGAGGATCATTGTGAGTTTGAGACCAGCCTGGGCTACAAAATGAGCTCAAGGCCAGCCTGAACTGCATAGTGAGACCCTATCTCAAAAAGACAACAACAACAACAAAAAATAGGAAAACATTAACAAACAGGCATCCATTTACAAAATAGCATAAGAACAATACAAGCAATAATGAATTACAGACAAAGTGGTAGGAAATTAACAATGGCTGTTTTATTACATATTGATATCTTCAAAGTGGTTTCTCAGGAAAACAAATATAGACATGAAAAAGTGATCAAATAATTAATCATTAACTGTTCCTTTCAGTAAAGCAATAGAAGTCAGTAGTACAACTATGTTAGCCATCCTGTATATACATACGTACATAATTTCTCCTTCTTTCTTTTCTCTTTTCCCTCACCCCAATTGTTCTTTACTTTTGAGCATTTTGCTTTCATTTCACAATGTCTATTATACATTCTAATTTTTATTCATTCTTTCAGATTCTTTTTTTTTTCTTTCAGATTCTTATACTAGTGAGACAATACATTGCTTACACATGGAAGTCTGATTTATTTCACTTATGACTATGGTCTCTAGTTGCTTGACAAACATAATTTAAAAAATGTGTCTGCCTCACAATGCAGTGATCTAGATCCAACCCAAAACATACCTGTTTCCTTTTTTTGTTGTTCCATTTTTTGAGACAGGGTCTCACCATGTAGTGCCAGCTGGCCTTGAATTCACTTATATAGCCCAGGCTAGCATCAAACTTGCAGTGATCCTCCTGCTTCAGCCTCCTGAGTTCTGGAGTTACAGCTATGTGGTACCATGCCCAGCCTCCTTTTTTGTCTTTTTTTTTTTTTTTTTTTTTTTTTTTTTTTTGATACAGGGTCTTGCTATGTTCCTAGCCTGACCTTGTACTTGTTATATAGCTCAGATGGGCCTAAAACATATGATTCTTCTGCCTCATCCTCCTAGAGTGCTGGGATTACAAGTGTGCACTTCCACACCTGATTTACTTCTTAACAGAAGACAAAGCAGTCCAGGGTCCCTTAGTAATATGCAGTTCTTTTTCTTTTTCTCTGGTACTGGGGATTGAACCTAAGATGCCTAGAGCTGCATCCCCAGCTCTTTTGATTTTGAGACAGCATCTCACTAAATTGCCCAGGCTGGTATCAAATTTGCAATCCTCCTGCCTTAGCCTCCAGAGTAGCTGGGATTACTGGTGTGCACCGCCATACTTGACCTGTGATGTGCAATTTTTTGTTGTTGTTGTTCTGGGAATTGAACTCAGGACCTTGAGCTTGCTAGGCAGGTGCTTAGTCACTGAGCTGTACCCAATGTACAATTCTTGATCAGCTCTGGATGTGATTTCTTAAGATTTACAATCTATGGCTAAGGGATAAATTTTTATATAACCAATATGAAATAGTAGAGGCAAGTCGGGTGTATTCTGCATGCCTGTAATCTTAGCACTAGGGACGCTGAGGCAGGAGGATTGCTGCAAGTTTGAGGCCAGCGTGGGCTACAAAGTGAGTTCAAGGCCAGCCTGAACTGCATAGTGAGACCCTATCTCAAAAAGAAAAAAAAAAAAAGAAAGAAAAAGAGTAGAGGCAAACAGGATTACAATTTTTAAAAAACTCTTCTATTTGGAGTAAGGGAGAAAGAAAACTCTGGGCACTGACCCACAAATTAGAACATACCCTGTGGACATTGCATAAAGTTTGTTGGCCAACAAAGGTAATTAGTGTGGGTTCTTTCCAAGGGACAAAATCTTGTTCTGGGGAGGATGGACCTTTCTGCACAGAAGTACCCACTTCCTGTTTGATATGGTTCAAGGCCTACAGATTGCCTTAGAAATTTAACACCCCTAGGTCCATGTTGCCAAAAGCATGACAGCTCTCTAATCCCTGGGCCCTCTGCGGGTTAGTAAGCATCATCAAGAACCTTGATGAGCCGGGTGACTCACGCCTGTAATCCCAGCACTGGGGAGGCTGAGGCAAGAGGATCGCCAAGAGTTCAAGGCCAGCCTTAACTACATAGCAAGACCCTGTCTCAAAAAACCAAAGAGAAAAAGAAACAAAAAAAAACCTTGCTGGATCCTTCAGTCTGGATCTACCCCTCAGCGATGATGGTTCATGTCTCTTTGACCTTTGGCCCACCCTCAGCGTCATGGCTTCTCTCATGGCTGCTATGGTGGTGCCGCAGAGAGAACTCCTATTCGACTGTTGGCTGACTTGTACCCCAGTAACTTTGCTGCTGACCTTGAGTGGAACTGGCTGCTGGG